AAAAAAAAAAAAATAAAATAAAATAAAATAGAAAAAAATAAGACAAGCCATAGATGCTCAGTAACAATAAAAATAAAAGGATATTGATTTGTTAATCAATTTGGAGACACAAATATCAAATTAAAATAATTTAAACATCCAAGTCAAGCATCAGTGTTACGAAAGGTCACTGGGCCTTCCTTGCAGCCTGACAACCTTGGGTTCAAACACCTTGTCTAGGCCAGGCATGATGGCTCACACCCGTAATCCCAACACTTTGAAAGGCCGAGACAGAAGGATCGTTTGAGCCCATTTCAGACCAGCCTGGGCAACATGGTGAAACCTGTCTGTACAAAAAATTAAAAAATTAGCTGGATGTGGTGGTGTGTGACTGTAGTCCCAGCTACTCCAGAGGCTGAGGTGGGAGATCCCCCGAGTCCAGGGGGTCAAGACTGAAGTGAGCCATGTCTGCATCACTGCATTCCACCTTGGGGGACAGGGCAAGACCTTGTCTCAAAAACAAAAACCTTTTCTAGGCTGGGTGGGGAGGCTCACATCTGTAATCCCAGCACTCTGGGAGGCCGAGGCAGGCAAATCACCTGAGGTTGGGAGTTCAAGGCCAGCCCGACCAACATGGAGAAACCCTGTCACTACCAAAATTACAAGATTAGCCGGGCGTGGTGACACAGGCCTGCAATCCTAGCTACTGGGGAGGCTGAGGCAGGAGAATAGCTTGAACCTGGGAAATGGAGGTTTGGTGACCCAAGATTGCACCAATGCACTCCAAGATCGAGACTCCATCTCAAAAAAAAAAAAAAACCCACAACCACCACCAAAAAACCGTTTTCTAGTTATGTATCTCTTGGCCTTATCTCTAAAATGTAGATGCTGCTATTTATTCTTCAAACTACTACTGGGACTAAATTAAATAAGCCATGTTATGGCCAGGCCTGGTGACTCACATCTGTAATGTCAGCACTTTGGGAGGCTGGGGTGGGAGGATCACCTGGGTCAGGAGTTCGAGACCAGCCTGGCCAATATGGTGAAACCCCGTCTCTACTAAAAGTAAAAAAATTGGCTGCGTGTGTTGGTGAGCGCATGTAGTAGTCTAGAGGCTAAGGCACAAGAATCGCTTGAACTTGGGAGCCAGAGGTTGCAGTGAGCAGAGATCGTGCTATTGCACTACAGCCTGAGCGAAAAGTGAGACTCCGTCTCAAAATACAAAAATAAAAATATGTAATCCCAGCTACTCAGGAGGCTGAGGCAGGAGAATTGCCTGAACGCAGGAGGCGGAGGTTGCAGTGAGCCAAGATCGCGCCATTGCACTCCAGCATGGGTAACAAGAGCGAAACTCCGTCTCAAAAAAAAAATAAATAAATAAATAAATAAATAAATAAACCATGTTATTGAAAGCTCCCTGGCCTACGGGGAGTTTAACACACAGTTCCTTTTGTAATTTTTTTTTGAGACGGAAGTTTCGCTCTTGTCGCCCAGGCTGGAGTGCAATGGCGCAACCTTGGCTCACGGCAACCTGCGCCTTCAGGGTTCAAGCGATTCTCCTGCCTCAGGCTCTGAGTAGCTGGGATTACAGGCATGCGCCACCACGTCCAGCTAATTTTGTATATTTAGTAGAGAGACAGGGTTTCTCCATGTTGACCAGGCTGGTCTCTAACTCCCAAACTCAGGCGATCCGCCCCCTCGGCCTCCCGAAGTGCTGGGATTACAGATGTGAGCTCTTTTGGTAACTTAAACTACCCAAAGCAGTGAACACGAGAAAGCAACTCCGGGTAAGTCAGGTTAGGCTTTGCTGTCTGAATGTGGAAAATAACACGTGGAAATGTCAAGGTGATGAATCCGGACAACCAATCCACTGAAGTGAGAAAAACAAAAGTTTAAACAAGAGCCCCACACCTGAACACTTGGTGCTGATAACGCTAACTACTTTTAGAGCCACGGCCGGCTTTAAATTCCAAGTCAAAGACGCGAATGCTTTGACCTCCTCCAGGAGCTCCCTTCCCCAGCCTCCGCGGAGGGCTGGCCCGGGAGGATCCGCTTCGCGTCGTCTTATTTCCCACCCTCAGCACCTCAGAGACCGGGGTCACCAACGCCCTCTGCAGACGCGGCCACCCAGGCTCGGAGCAGCCTCCGGCGGGGACCCAGCAGGCGGCGTCCCGGGCCTGCGGCCTCAGGCGCGCGCTGTCCCCGCCCCCGGCCCCGGGACGCGCAGCTCAGGGCCCCGCAGGCCGGGCTAGCGCCGCAAGGAGGACGCGGCCTCCGCCCCGAGCCTCGAGCGCCTTCCCGAGCGAGGGCGGAGTCGCACCGCGGCCGGTCCCGCCGTGACCTTGAGCCCGCGGGCGCCCCCACCCCGCCCCCGCTCCGGCCCCGCCGCCCAGAAGCCGGGCGGCCCCCTGAGGTGGGAACGGGACCGGGACGCAGATCCGCGCCGGGGAGCCCCGCGCCCTCCGCCCCGCGGCGGCCCCTGCCCGGCCGCTCCCGGAAAGGGCGGTGCTGCTCACCGGAGCCCCGGCAGGAGGCTGCAGGGGACTGCCCGCCTCAGGAGACCGCTGGCCCAGGCCGCTCCGCCGGCGCGCAACACCCGCACCGCCATCTTGCTCGGCGCCTCGGCCGCCGCCGCTGCTGACGCCGCCGCCGCGCGACCCCTTCCCCGGCCGGGCCGGGCGCGGCCGCTGCAGTGCAGGGCACGGCCGCCAGGGGGAGCAGGGCGCGGCCTCTGCAGTGCAGGGCACGGCCGCCAGGGGAAGCAGGGCGGGGCCGCGGGGGTTGGCGGGGTGCAGGTGCCCGCGCCCAGCAGGGCCGGAAGGCGCAAAGCCCAAGCGCGGCCGCTTCCAGCGAGAGGAGCTCGGTGCCCAGGAGCGCGGGTGCAGAAGGGACAAAGGCAAAGCTGCAGCGAGCAAGGAAAGCTCCACAGGGAACAAGTAACACTGTCGCCAGGGGAATCCAGGGCCTGGGCAGGGCAGTGGCAGTGGGGTTCCCCCACCCCATCCCGCCAATACCTTTTACATTTGGCAGTATGTGAATATATTGCCGTTTCAAAAAGCAGATGTATTCTGCTGCTGGACACAATGGCTCATGCCTATTATCCCAGCATTTTGGAAGGCTGGGGCCAGAGGATCTTTTGAGGCCAGGAGTTCGAGACCAACCTAGCGAGCCCCCACTCTGCAAAAAATTTTATAATTACCCGGGCATGGAGGAGCGCGCCTGTGGTGTCAGCTACACTGAAGACTGAGGTGGAAGGATCGCATGAGCCCAGGAAGTGGAGGCTGCATTGAACTATGATCATGCCACTGCACTCCAACCCAGGCAACACAGCCACATCCTGTCGCAAATAAAATAAAATAAAGAGAAAGAACTGTGAAGGTCTTTTTTTTCTTCCCCCCCCCACCCCCAAACTGTGAAGGTCTTGGGACGGCATGGTTCCCATTCATTTCAGCACCGGTGGGCACTGCTGTGGGGAGTCCTTGGTACCCACTCCCGAGCCATCCAGGTCTAGTGGGGACGGAATGTGCAATGATGATTGGACCGACTGTGACAAGTCGAAATGGACAGGTTCTCGAGACGCAAAAGAGGCACTGAAAAAAGCATGTAACCGGGGATGGCTGTGAATTGGAGTATACATGGGGAAAAAGGTCCCCAAAGAGCTGGCAGGACAGCTCAGTCCTAGGGGAAGAAGGGAGGCCATCCCTGGCTCAAGAAATAACTTAAGCAAAGGCGTGGGTCTGGGAGGCTGGTGCTGTAGGGAAAAATGCATCCTCCAGGAAGATAAACCACAAATGTAGCTGGGTGCCATTGCTCACGCCTGTAATCCCAGCACTTTGGGAGGCCAAGGCGGGAGGATCACCTGCAGTCGGGAGTTTGAGACTATCCTGACCAACATGGTGAAACCCCATCTCTACAAAAGTACAAAAATTAGCCAGGTGTGGTGGTGGGTGCCTATATAATCCCAGGTACTTGGGAGGCTGAGGTGGGAGAATCGGTTGAACCTGGGAGGTGGAGGTTGCAGTGAGCC